CAGCTGCAGTCACCAGATGAATTAGGCTAAATTACTTTTAGCATGGATTTAAATAACTCATATAACTCCATAAAAGCCAAACATCCAGGGCTAGAAAACCCAAGGTACCCCCCTGTTTTTGCAACACAAAAGCTTATAATGGCTGACACATCAAGAGCTGCCTGAACGCAGCAAACTCGCAGCACTACTGGACACGTGTGTCCCAATTCCAGCTGTCCATCTGGAGTCTGAGAAAACCTATTCTCCTTCTTAAATTAATTAAAAGCTAATTATAGCAGTCTGGGGAAGTAATCCTCTCCAGTCTCTTCACATGAAACAGCAGTGGCTGATAAAGACTTCAGCAAGGAGGCTTGACTCTGCAGCTGAAGGGAACAGGCAGACTAAATGCCTAAGTTTATTTGCCTGTATTGCTAAGAAGGAAAACAAACTCAACCCCCAACCTTTTACCACTCACATGTACACCATTGACTTTAGCTTTGTAAATAGTACCGAAATTTTATATCCAAAATATAAAGGCAGGCACTTCCAGCACAGATCTGTGCCTATTTAGAATTTAAGCCCAGCTTTTAATATGCTGTTACTGAAAGATTTTATTTCTAGCAAGCCCAGTCCGCTGCTTTGGAAGATTTCTTAAAACATTCATAACTGGGAGGGTTAACAAATGTAGACACCATGTCGATGACAAGTAATTCCAAAAAGGTTCAATTTTTCCTCCCCTATAGATCTACAGAAGATAAACAACTGTGCACAACTTTTTATTTAATTCACGTTTCATCTGAGCACAGATTCACAGAGGAAGTGGGCTTGTTCCTGATTCAATTCCTGAGGAAGTTTAATAAATTGAAATGTTAATCTGTTCTTTCTCAACTCTGCTGAAGGCATCACAGAAGTATCTGACAGAGACAGATAAAAAATAGCAGGTTATTATGGTCTCTCCTCCTCAGTCAGCACTCACACGGCGCCGGCCCCACGTCTGAGCGGTGCCATACGGTGTTTCCTGGCACATCCATCCCCAGCGAGACACACAGAGACACAAATCAAATCTCCAGTGCCAATACTTGTAATTCTGCTGGGATTCTGATCATTTCATTAGGAAGGAGTGCTCCCAGGCACCACATCTCCTCAGTGTGGTGCCACACTTATTGTATCAGTAGGTGCTCATTTACCAGCACCAAGTCACCCATGTTTTAAAAGGTTTTTAAAAACACCCGTCGCAGCCTTCATTGTCACTGACAGTTCCTCAAAACCAATCATAGAAGTTATTTTACTCAATATTCTGAAAGCAACAGATGATAAAAAAAGGCCAAAGAGTGATGGTGTCTACCTTTCAATTCCCACTTCTTCCACAGTGCTATGTGGTCCTGTGAAAGGTAATTTCCCTTCTTTGTTATTAGCTGTATTTAGTAAACGTTAAATTTTTTCACATTCAAAATTATTCACATTCAAAATTATTCACATTCAAAAGCAATAGATAACCAGTTGCATCCCTTTGTAGTCAGTCTTGAACACAGAATGGCAGCTTAGTAGTCAAAATGTTAACTCAGTAGTCAAACCACATAGTCAAATTAGGTATTATGACATGAAAATACACAATTTTTTTATTTCTGTGGCAGCCCACAAAGGGCACCGTGCAGGAGGGGTTTTCACATACTCCCTAAAAAGAGAGAAGCACCATCCTTAAGTACATCCCCCAAAACTGCACACACAAACAGCCAGATTGACTTAAAAAGGAGGTTACCCAGAGTGTCTCCGAATTTAAGTTAATAATGGAATGGCAGCTTGAGCTCTGCAACTCCTTTAGTTTTGGTAGCACTGTATATATATCACAAATGGTTAAAGTACTTTCTTTTTTTTAAGCAGAAAAAAATAATGAAAATTTAAAAAATGCTTATAAACTGCATGCCAACTGGTTTGGGTTGTTTTTCCTCTTCTAAATGCCTATTGAAGGTCATTTGTTTAGTGCTTTTACAACACGTATTTTCATTTTAATTTGAGCATTTTCAAAAGCAAAATGAAGTGAAATGTCAACTGTTTGATATTCTGCAGCATAACCCAGGTGCAGCTGTTGCACTGGGGAGAGCTCTGAGTGACAAGAGCTTTACCCAGATGAGTTGCTATTTCTGAGCACAACTTTAAATAAATAATTTAAAATGGAACAAAAAGAGACAGCAAAACAGAGCAGGCTCAAAAATTGTTCGATAACATGGTGTCATATTGATAGATAAGACTGACAAGTCCAAATACAACTCTTGGGTTTCATCAACAAAGATGTTCTTCAATGCAAACAGAAATAGCAAAGGTGAAGAGACAAACGAAGCAGCTGAAACAGGCAGCTAAAAGGAACGTTGTAGAAAGACCTGCCGGATCAAAGCCACACGGTTTGCTGGAATCACATTAAAACTTTCTACAGCATCAATAGGTTTGGGTTTTTACTTCAGGCTCTGTGGAGTACCTGCCTGCAAGCCCAAAATTCTCTTCAAGGGAATACAAATAATTCCAAAATATTTCATTTCTAGATGAGGATAGGCGACAGATTCTGTCACAGAGTTATTGAGGCAATATTCTAAGGCCACTGGAAATGTAAGCAATTTGGGGGGGTTCAATCACATCCTCAACAGCCTGGAGAAAAGTTTAAAAATAAAAAGGTCCTAAGAAGACAATAGGGTGAAATAACTCAGTCCCACAGAGGCCATGGCAAGTCTCAAATTTGTGTGAATTTACATAAAACTGCTCTGACGTGATATATCATGTGAGAATGACGAGAATGGCACTTTGATGGGATTCTAAAAATTTCTCCGTAAAACTTAATTCCATCATAAATGTAGCTCCTTTTTCACAGGTTATGCCTCTGCTCAGGAGGTCCATCCCCAGCTTGTGCCACTGTTCCCTTGTGCATGCAGACGAAGGGGATGTGCCTCCCTGGTTAGCTGTGGAACTATGGGACCTCCAACAGATACTTTTCTTCTCTGGATTGAGGGTTGAAGAGTATCTTTAACAACCAATTTCACTCTCCCAGCCACAGTAAAAAACTGAAAACAACTAACCCCAAACAAAACCTATTAGTTGACATGGAATCAACAAATGGTTGGGGTTGGAAGGGACCTCTGGAGATCTCCTAGTCCAAGACATAAATTGTTCAACCATAATTCAAGTATTTTCATGGAGACCAGAGAAGCTCCCTTGGAATGATCAGCTGGCAGCATACCTTCAGCAATGGTTTTAACTGGTTTTCATCCCTTAATGTTTTCTTTCATAAAAGAGCTGTGTAGGATGTAAACATTTTGTAACGACAGACAGGTCAGGGACGTGGAGAAAGCACAGTCAGGAAGGAAGTTGAAGGGTATTTAAAATTCATCTGTATCTATGACAAATTAAGGAGAAGGCTGGAAGCTTGTTTTTGAAAACTTAAGACAGTTCACTTCAAAGGTTTCTTGATTTTTTGAGGATTTTTTTCTGCAGGAGAACATTTTCTTTCCACTGTTTGCAGCTGCCACTGTTTTTAGTCCTTCCAGTTGCCGGAATTATCGGCATGCTGGTTGTTCAGAGATAAAGTAAAGAACAATTTAATGCAGAAAAAAACTTACCTTTTGATTTCCCCATAACTCCTTCCAGAGGCTGACTGGACACACAGCTTCAGTTCTCTGTCAAGGAACCGTTTCTTGTTCTGCCTCTGGCCATACACCTTCAGATTTGACTTTCTTTCTATGCTGAGGGCCAGCTACACTTTTATTTTAATAGGACTTTAATCTACACTCCTCCCACAAATTCTCAGAAGTGCCTGTTACTTGAGACTGGCTGACTCCTGAATCTTAGGAGCACTTTTCTGATAGACTTCACTGGTGCCTCAGGACGTTGTCTCCACACTACCCCACTTCTCAAGATGTCTGTGTGTATCTTCTCACTTGAAATTGATTTTCTTACCATTTCTGGCTTATTTTTAGCTCTAGTAAAAGAAGCTCCCTTAGCTGTGTGTGATTATCCTCCACAAGTTTCCCTTTCCTTAGCAGGCTCTAGTGTTGCACTCTCTCCTTGGATTCTTTCACCTTCTTTCCCACAGTAATTCCTTCAGACATGCTGAGATAAACACCACCAGTATTACCCCACCTCCTTTTGATAACTGAGCACCAATGTGCAGAAGAAGAGATACTCTTAAGGAAACAAATATTGAGTTATGAGTGGGGGACAGTATTTGTTTAATACTGAATCCTATCAAGGCATGTGCACAGGCCTGAAAATTCTCAAAGGAAATACTTCACAATCAAAATTACAGAAGGAACTAGAGACAGCAGTGTTTCAAACTCCTTGGCATTTAAAATTATAAAATATTCTATTTATTTATTTACTTTTGTGCTTGTGACCCATTTAAATCAGAGAGGAAATCAGTGACAGGTTCAAAAACAGGTGTAATCCCATGGATGCCCTGAATTCCCAGTGACCAAAGGAAGTACTGGTATTTTACCAGAATAAACATTCCAGACTGTCCATCTATTCTGACCGGTTTTTTAAAGGAAGTGCAGGTATACCTATGGTTCAGACACACACCATTTTTACCAGGAGTAGTGTGTTCCCAGTTGGAATAGCAGGGAAAAAACAAAAGGAAGGAGCTTCATTCAGCTGTGTTTGTTTCATATCAGGCCACCAAAGCAACCTGCACCACCCTTACTGTCTGTGGGCACTTGGAGAGCTTTTCCTAGGAAGTGTCTTCAAGAAATTACAGTTTCTAACTCTGAAAAGTCATTTAACAAATTAAATGAAGAACAGATGAGTGCATCAGATATTCTTAATTAGATCCCTCAACAAAGAATGGGGCAATCCACAGTTCTCATTCTAAAACCAAACCAGCATTTCACTGAACATCTTCTATATAACCACGGTTTCTTCACAATTTAGTTACACACGTTTTGAAATCAAACAGCAAATGACTCCAACTAAATGAAATAAAACAAGAGGACACATTTGTGAGGTGGAAGAAGGGCTTTCTGACTCAGTAGTATTTTTACCTCACAGAGTAGTAAGTCAATGATGTGGAAGACCATGCAGAGTGGAAACTTGGCAGTGAAGAGCGTGAGGAACCACTGGGATGCATACATGTGAGCTTCCAAATTGAGGTCTGAGAAGTGGCTGTGCAAGTCTGGTAACTGCTCCTGGAGCAAAGGAGAAAAAGAAATGTTTCAGGATTACCCATTAATCCAAGCTCTTCATCTACACTGACAGTAAGGACCCCGTTGCTAAACACCAAAAACCACAACAAAGTGAAATCCTGGCTTCTTTTGAGCAGTGGAAATATGTTTCTTGATAAATTTCAGTGCCCATGGTTACAGTTTTTAGTGAGATATCCACAGTGGATTCTATCACAGTATCAAATAAGGCACTGAGATTATCCTGAGGAATTACAAAATCTTCAGCAGTCAAAAGGCAGAGAGGTTGTGAAACCTATCTCAGAGTGTGCATTTTTATCTCTTTGCTCTTGATTTGCTACAAATGTTTCTGCCGCAAAAAATAACAGATACTAGAATCAGGAGATCACCTTGCTGAGCTTGAAAGCAATAGAGCACAGACAATTTCTCTAACTAGGAGCATATATAAACACCACAAAATAAGCACTGAAAATGCTACTGTACAGTGATGACATATTAAGTTAATAAAGTATCTTTGTTAACAGTATATCTGTTAATAAAATTTGTTTTATTTGTTAATAAAAATCTTTGTAAACATATGTAAATATTGAGAAGTATCACATTAATCAGTAATTCTACTCTACAAAGTAGATTTGACATCTGAAAAAAAAATCATTAAATTAAAACATTAACAGTGGTCTGTTTGGTTTGGTTTCAGTATATGCCACAGAGGTATCTACGGTCACCTGTGACAACTGACTTCATCAGCCTTCACTGTGGTAACACAAGGCCAGGGCTTAATGAACTGTTAGTAATTCCTTATTAGTCAGAACAACGTGCAAAACTTGCAGCAGTTTAATTCTGTTAAACTGCTCGATGAAATAATTCCACCTGAAAAAAGAGCAGTGCTTTGAAGAGACAGCAAAACGTGCCAAATGACCTCCACTGGGTTGGTATTTCATAGGCATCAGGGTGTCCTGATTTGCCTGATCTCTTAACCACCAGCACAATTCACAGAAAGTAGGACACTGATGGTGGCAGTCCAAAGGATACACCTTGGCCTTAATAGCACAGAGACATCCTCTCTAAGCAACATCAGGGAACAGGGAAGAGAGGGAGAAAGCAAACAGAGAGAGGGGAAAAAACACAGATACCCGCTCTGCTTGGATACAAAGATTAGCAGCAAGACTGGTCTTTGAAAGACAAAAGAAACTGGAAATAAATTTGACTCATGGTGTCTGAATTGAGCTGTAAAGCCTTCCTTGCTTTGGTTCTGTCCCACCCCTCCAAGAGGAGAGGGGTTTTATTGTCCAGTAGCTTTTGGAAGCAAAGCATGAATCTCTTCTTCATCCCAGCATTTCCATTTATGACAGGAGAATTCATTAACTCTGGCCCCACCTGCATTAACTTCTCCAGCTGGAAAAATTTGCAATGGAGATCTTCAAAGTTATTTCTGTAGAGGTCCCTCAAGCCATAGTCATACATTATTTTCACAAATACACAGAATGCCTGCTCCTCTGGCATCTGTTGGGAAAAATACACAAAAACAAGGTTAAAATCAGAGCTGAGGCTGGAAATGCCTTACACAGATACACACTCCTAAATACCTTAGGCACGATGAATTCAGAACAGGGATATATCAAAACTTTCAGCAAAGCCTCTGAATGTAGAATTGAGTAAGTAAAATATCAAGGGCACTGTTCTCCTTGATGAGCACTTGGATTTGGCTCTTTTAAGGCCTTCTCTGAAGAAAATGGAGGATCAAATCACAGGTTCCTGTACATATAGATCCCTACAGCAGCACAACTGGCAGCAGCATTCCTTCTGCCAAACAGGGATGAGAACAACCAGTACACAACTCACAGGTACAGAACAATTTAAAACTGAAAAAAAAGAGAGAACAAAAATAAAATAAAAAGGCAATGACTCATGACAGTGATTTCTACTGAGAGAGATATGGTTAAAAGGGGAAGATTCAGGAGAATTAAGGTACAACCGACCCTTAGTGAGAATAATGCTCATCTGCTTTCATCCAAACACCAGGACACTGAACTCTGAAATCAGGCTTCCCACGATTCCACCAATTAACATCCTGACTTTTTCAGAAGCCCTATCACCATAATCTCTATTTCATTCTGACCAAAGTTTCTCATCCAACAGAGATTTGGGAGGTGGTACCAACAGAAGCTGTGTGAGTCACTCTAAACTCACAGTTTTTGGCTTGAGCCCACTGAATGCTGAATTTGTGGGAAGCCCTGTGTCACAAAACCTCCCCATCATCTCCCTCCCTTCCCCCGTGCCTTCAGGTAACACCATAATAAGATGGGCACAAGCAGGTTCACTGCAGAGCCCAAATCAAGCTTTCAAAGACAATAAAAACAACCTTTCTTTTGCAGGCACCAGATTGTAGGAAATGAAAACAATTATTGAGGATCAAGAACTCTTGACCTTTTAGTGTTTTCACTCATTCTGTCTCTTGCCAACTCCTTATCCAATATAGTGACAGATAAAAGCTTGGTATTTTCTTCAAAGGGAATTTTAGTCTCTTGATATTTACCTCCAGGGTTTCATCCTTTATGCTCAGCCCATGATTAGGGCCTGTTTCCAGGGCCATGGGCAGACACTTTCATTTTCATTTTCAGACACCATAAAGGAAAGTAACTAGTTAGCATAGTGGTGCCAGCTCAGCTGTTGGCTCCCAGTCCAAGGCTGATTCACCTTGGACAAGTTCTTAGCCATCTCAAAGCTCTTAATCACAATTTTATCTGGATTTATCCGGATGCAATGATCCCCACTGACAGCAGATAAAAGCTGCAGACAAAGTAAAGGAAGAAATGATTTTATCCTGACCAAAAGGCTCAAACCTGCTATGTAAGAAGGATGATGAAAGCAAATTTCAGGGGTTTTTGGTCAAACTCCAATAATTTCTAATGAAATAGAAAACAGGTGCTCATGCACAAGCTCATCTCCCCTGCATGCTCAGTCAGACACTCGTGCAGTGACAGCTGTTCCCCCGAGACAGGGAGAGGGAACAGAGGCCAAATAGGTCCCCAAGTCCTTACTCTCAGGGGACAGAGGGTCTCCAATATTACCAACCCTAAGAATTCAGAATCATACATCGAGTTTTCATTAATTATTTTATTCAGTCAGAACACAAACTTTGGGTATTGCCAGTCTGATTTTTAGCATTAAGATAACAAAGGGCAAATATCTGTTCTTTGACATTTTAGGGTTTTTTTCACAGAGCAATGGCTCTGAAAAATAGACAAGAAAAAAAGTCAAAAACTATGAGACTTACAGTAAAACGATTAGAGTTGGCAACACTGTCCCCCTGTGATTAGAAGTTACCTGCTCATCCTTGATGGGAATTTCATCAAAGCAGCAAAACCACAAAAATCAAGGATGGAGGTGCAGGCTACCCAGCCACCCCTGAAAGCTTTCTAACTGGAGAGGAAGGATACCCTGTCCCAGAAAAAAAAGGGAAAGGAAGGGATCTAGAAATCCATGCAAAGACAGGAGAGTTAGAGAGGGCCTTACAGGCAATCACAGCACACAGATTGGTTGGAGAATTTGAGAAAAACAAGAGTTTGAGGACATCCTGGGAAGCTGCCAACTTACATGAGCTCATTGAGACTGCTTCCCTTCCCCCCTTTCTCTGAGAATTTCACTTTAATATCCTATTATGAAAGCAAACATTATAAAGGGCATATTAAAATGAGTGTAATTTCCATTTAGTATTCCCTGTGTACAGGGCAATTTCTTCCAACTCCAGAAACACTGGAAACAGAGGTAATTCTCTGTAGTAATGATAGCACAGAACCGAGGGAGAGGAGCTGAAGTATCAGTCAAATGTTAAGAATGCGACACCCACACGTTTCCAAACAACTCTGGTATTGAAAATGGCTTATTCTTCCAGTGGAACTTCAAAATCCTGGTTTGGGTAAAAAGTTAATTGCAAAATAACTGTTAGAGAAGCTAATTTGCAGTATATGTGGGATTGCAATAATGTGACTAATTCAGGTTTATCCTTAAAGGATCTAAAGCTTCTCTGCAACACTGTCACTCTGTATCCTGTTCCTTAAGTCTTCCAGGAGTTATAGCTCTCCCTAGGAATTACAGTTTAAATTAATCTGAATCTGAGTTCTCAATGCCTTAGGAAGCATATGTGTAACATATATACCAACAGCTGACTCAAGCCCACAATCCAAAATGTATTTTAATAATGATTAATAATTTACTAATTAAAACTTGACAGGAAAAGCAGGCAAGAGCCTGAGTAAGAGCTGTGGTTGGAGTTTGGGGTGGTTTATTCTGATCTACTTTATCTGAATAAATACTTGAACAAATACACTACTTGAATCTGCAGAGATTTTCCACTGAGACATCAAAGGCAGAGCATCTTGCAAACTATAAAACTTGTGTATTTATTTATCTATCTCCAGACATATGTGCAGGCGTTTATACAGGAAGTAACGGATCAAATTTTGTGCAGTTTTTGGTTACAGGCTAAAATATCAAGGTTGAAATTCAGCTTTCATTCACAAGATATTATAAAGTGTCCCTAGGAGAAAGTCTCACTAAAAATGAATGAGACTGCCTGCTTTGCTGAGCTACTCTGAGAATGCCTCCCAGAGTTAAATCCCCCATAAACACAAAGGGAGCTCACCAAGGTGACAACTAAATTAAAAGAAAATATTAATATGTAACAAATCAGCTTCAGGTTTTGACACAGAAGTACTTGACAATCTAATGGATTTTTCTCAGACAAAGCAAATCTACATTCATGAAGATAGAAGCCATTAGTCACTATTGCCAAAAAGCAACAAGAGGAAAATGAATACAGGCAAATAAACAACAGTAAATATCTGTCAGACAGCACCACTGATTTTACAGCTGCTTTGGTTTCAGATATCAAAGCTTTCATTTTGCAATTAACTCACATGAAGCAGAAGCACAGCTGCAAGGAAAGACTGTCCCTGGCAGTAGCCGATGTCCTCATCGTAGACAGAGTAGGCCTAGGGGAAAGGAAAGGCAAAATGTGTTTAGCATCCCTATTAACATGTTCATTAGCATGCACCCACCACCACCAAAATGGGCTCCCAGCAATGAGAGCTCAGGGTATGGCCTTCCAGTATCTGAGGGGCTCCATGGGAGCTGGGGAGCAACACTCCATCAGGAACGGGAGGGACAGGACAAGGGGGATGGGTTCAGAGTGCCAGAGGGCAGGGTTAGATGGGGTATTGGGAAGAAATTCCGTCCTGTGAGGGTGGGGAGGCCCCAGCACAGGTTGCCCAGAGAAGCTGTGGCTGCTCCATCCCTGCAAGTGTCCAAGGCAGGCTGGACGGGGCTTGGAGCAACCTGGGACAGAGGAAGGTGTCCCTGCTCACGGCAGGGGATATAACTGCATGAGCTTTAAGGTCCATTCCCACCCAAACCAACCCATGATTCTCTATGGAACACTACTCAGGCTAAAATAATAAATGGGGTGAAACCACAGCCACTCTCGCACAGGCTTTCAGGGCTCTTCAGAAAACACCCACAGGTCACTCTCAATGCTCCACACATGCTGTTACTGGTAAATTTTTGTTTTCCAAACAGCACGAGAAGAGTTGGATGCAATTTCCCTTCACCAAAACCCAGGATAATTCTGCTGAGCACTCTACCGATATCACAAATGTGATATAAAACCCAGGGTAGTTTGTGCTGTGGGGGGAGTGGTTGTTTGGTTTTGGAAAAACAAGTTCTGACATCATGGAAGCAGAGGACCTGAAGTTAGAAAATGCCAAGAACTACCATAGCCCAAACATTTCATCAGGAACAGCCTTTCCATGCCCTTGTAACACCGAAGAATGAACAAGACTCATTTTCCTATTGTATGACTGACATGTTTTTTTCTTACTCTTAAAAAAACCCCAAACTAAAATAACTAACCTTTCCTTCCCCCTTACTTTTCCAAGACAAGAAGACAGATCCTGTTTTTAAAGAGATGTCAGAGGATGTTAAGAATTCAAGGAAACTCGAGAAAGTTTGAGCAGCAGCAGGACTGACATCAGAGGGGGAGATATTCCTGAGGGAATCAGAGAGGTATTGAGGCTACAGCCAGGGAAAACAAAAGCAAAGGGCAGAGCCACGGGGAGGAACAAGCCACAGGAAGCAGAAGATCCACTTTGCCTAGAACACCACATTTATCTTCTTTTTTTAAGTCTTAGGTAAAAGCAAGATTGCAAATACCCCAAATGGAAGATCAGAGACACTGGGAATAAACAGTCAGAGGTGCTGGGGAACCAAACCCACCCAGGACTATCCTCCAGTATTCCAAAGGTGGCTATGCTGCCTCTCCAGAAGGTAATTACTGACTTAAAAAAAGATGTGACTCTTTTCCAGCCAACAAAACTGCAAATTAATTCTCCCAGAAATGCTGAAATGGAGGCCAAAGCATAAACTCTTTAAATCACTTTCCCTCTTCATTCAGATGGGCAAAACTTCATATTTGTGAGGAATTCTGCAATGATTCCAGGAGACAGGATTCCTGTAAATACCACCTGAGTATTCCTTTAAAGGTCACTGTTTCTGAAAAACTCCCCCCATACATTTCCCTTTTGAAAAGCTGCCCTTTCCCCTTTGAAAGAGCTGCGGCTCTTTGCCCTTTGTCTCCACTGCTCACCACTGTTTTGAAGGCTGTTCCATGGAATTAGTCAGGAGCTGAGTGAAAATAATCCCAGCCCACTGCTCAGGTTCAGGGGCCACGCAAATTCACGAACATCAGTCACAGAAATCATTGTAAAAAACCCCTTTAATTAACCATATCAATCTGCATACTAGTTTGAACCAGCTCTAGCCACTGAAGCCAAACAGAAAAAATAATTCCAGAAATGCACAACACAAAATTTGGATTGGGGGGAAAAGGGATGTTCTCTTCAAAAAAATTAATTTAAAATTACTCTTCAGCTACCAAGCACTAAATTAAGAGAAATTACGTTAAATGCTTAAATTAATGTTGCATATGACTAATTAGAACCATCTTCTGATTATTCACCATCATGAGTATTTATCTATTTGTTCCCCCAATTAATCAGTTATTATGCCTAATATTTTATATCTGTAGCATTCCTAAAAGATGTATTATTCCTGCTTTCTAAAGGTCAACTCCACCTAGAAACATGAGAAATTTGATTTATGATTTCTTCATACTATATAACAACGCTTCTAATTTACTTTAAAAATTCCAGGCTGAAAAATTAACAGCAAACTGTCAATGCCTGGGGGTTCTCCTTTGTGAGACGCATTATAGCAAATAATTTGCTGAAAATACCAATAAATTAATCCAAAGGAATTATTTTAAAGTAAGTATTGAGAAAGCAACAAACTGCTTCCAAAACTGACATAGATTGAAAAGTACAGAAAGTTATCAGAAATAAAAACATACTTCTTTTGAGATTGTGAAAGAAGCTGAAATTATGGTAAAATGAGGAGGGTGGAAGGAAATCCTCACTCTGCACGTTAAATACAAAAATATGAAGGAAGACCAGCAAATTCTCTCATAATCAACTTCCTGAGCACATCTGAACTAGTAATAAATCTACTTCAAACACATGCAGAGCAGGAAGGCAAAGTCTCTGCTTGGAAAATACATGGTCGATGTAAGAAAGTTTTATTTAAACTCCAGCAGAAAATCACCGTGAACTTTGTGTCTGGTTTATTCCAGAAGAATCCCAGGGGTTGTCATCCTGCTGAAACCATTTCTAACAGGGGGTGTGTTGAAGGATCTGTGTCCAGCTGAGTATCAGAAGGGATGATCAATTAAAGGGAATAAAAAAATTCAAGATTTATTGAGAACAGATGGTATTCACCCAAAAATCTTAGAGAGGGAGAATAAACTGGTAAACCATTACTTGCCTAAACTGAAACTTTTCTAAAAATGTTGATCCATAGAACTACAAATCAGCAAGTTCTGGATAATTTGGTTTAAATAAAAATGTGAAATTAATTAGTGGATGCAGATATACATTGGCTATATAAGTGAAAAACTGAGGGTCCCAGCAAAAGGACGTCATCATTAAACAAACCTTTGAAGCAACCAGCAACCATGGGAAAAAAACATTAACTGCTTGATCTGTGTGCTTTTTGAAATTCATTTCCACCAGGTCCTTCCCCAAAATCTCATCTTGACAAGCAGCTGTTATCAGATATGGGGACACAAACTTCACTTCAGAATTAGATCAGGTTCTCCTGTTAAATCAAAGCATTATAATCCCAGCAACTAAAGATTTCTCTTTAAGGAAGTCTCTAAAATCGACATGATTTCCCTGCATCTACCCAATGCAAAGAGATTTCTGAAGCTTTATGCATATTACATTTCCAATTACACTATTTTATTTTTAAGTAACCTATGGGACTTGGTATTGCTGATATATGACATAATTAACCGAAACAGCCTCAGAAATAAGGATGCTGCCTAGAGATACCACCACAATATCAGATTATTAACAAAAGATCTAAGATTTATTATTTAGGATTTATGCTTTTAAGGAACTGAGGAACTTTCTCCTTCCACGTGAAATATGAAAACAAAGCAAAATCCCAAACCCCTTTTTCCACTGCAGTCATTGTAATTTTGCAATTTCAAGAGAATGGGATCTCTCCCATGAGAACCTGTGACAGTGTCACAGCCTTTTAACTGATTATTTTCTTAAACTCTTGGGGAACTTCCAATCACAATTCCCCAGTTAACTGAGACTTTAAATATTCTCTGTCTTGTAAGTGGGACTTAATGGAGGTTCTGAGTTGAAGCCTATTTTCTTTCATTTTAACTAAATGAGGATCTCAGAGAATTAAAACACATTTTGAATAGTTATCTGTCTGCTGATGAGAACTGCTGTCCAGGTATTGGTACATCATCATCAGGAAGTGAATTCTTTGGAAGCAACAGTCTCCTAAAATGAAGTCCATGCTAGAGAACCACCTACATGTTGGGAAAGTGAATGAAGAATCCAGAGGTGGACAGAAATTATTCTCTAAAACAATTAATGGAGGGAAATCTCCCAAGATCAGAATCTTCTACAGGCAGAAACCTGCCAAGTAAGTAGCATCTAAAAGACAAACAGAAAGGTGGCTGATTTGAATTTAAAGCCCCAGATCTGGGATTTGTGTAACTGCTGCCTAGGGGTCCCAGCAGATATCAATAAGGAAGAGAAAGGAGTATGTCCCAAATTCCAGAATGAAATATTTCTCATCATTCTGCATCCTCATAAGCATGAAAAGGACTGGTTACACCTGCTGAAGGTTCACTAACTAGCAAATATCAGCCTTTACCACACTGCCTCAATAACACTGGAAACGAAACAGTTACAACAGCAGAAACTAAAGAGAGTTCATGAAAAATATTCCTGTAGTGTCTGTCTCACATTCCAGAGCTTTCAGTTCCCCTCTCGTGATTCTCATAGATAGAAATGACCTATGGATGCTGCTCAATGTTTGACACAGACACAGCTCTAGAGTTAAAAGTGTCTGAAAATCAGGTTCTGTCAGGAAAACATCCATACTTTGATGCAGACAATGTATTTTCTGACATGCTCGGTCGCTGAATAATTTTAGTGATAGTACAATTTCAAACTCCATATCTAAATTTATCATAAGGGCTAACAGCCTGAAAGTAGTAATATTCCTGTGACTGCAGCACTGAGGATGTATCACATTATACAAGGAATTTCTGTGCTAGCTGAAAACTGTATTTTTAGACATTAGTTACTCATTTATTGAGTATCAGGGAGAGGCACGTGGTTGTTACACAATGTGCCTCCCCCAGAGCTGGAAGGACTGAGGGGATGAAGAAATCTTCACATTTACTCGACAGGCCCCTGAACAGGCTCTTTCCAGCATCCAGGATTCCAGTGCTGACCTTTCCACCAGTACAGGCTCAGCAGAAGCCCCGAGTGCAGGAACAGCGCTGCTGCCTCCTCGCTGAGCACAGATGCAGGAGAAAGAGCCTTATTAATATGTAAATAAAATAAACACAAGATAACATTAAAAATCCCTTGCATGAAACAAGACAATATTTACCAGAATTGCTCTTCAACCCAGGAGCAAAGAAAATAAACAACTAAAAATAGATGAAAAGTAATTCCTAACTGATTGTGTTTATGCTCCCGTGTTTATCCTAAAATTGGCAAATAGACTCCTCTCTGACAAATAATAACAGCAAAGTGGACAAACACTGCAACATCCCATTTGGAAATCTGAGAAGATGCTAAGGATTGAAAAATGTGGAAGAATAAGCGCACAGTGAGAAGAGGTGACTATTTGAAAAGAGATGCTGCAATGAAATGGAGATGAAAATGTAAAAAAAGGATGAAAATTAGACTTTCAGCTCAGAGGCCGGCACTGAGCAGCAGCTCTGCCAAAGAGTAATCCATCATTCACAGCTTATCACAGGCATAGAAGCTGCTGGTCACAGAAGAACAACTCAAAGACATTTTCACACTTCAATATACAGCAAAGAAAGCCAAAAAAACCACCCATATCAGAGCCCAGTCGGTGTTAGCTCTGCTAGAAAACAGTTTATTGTTCCCTCTGCTAATGTGGGTACCAACAAAGAGACAATGGAATGACAACTAAAACGGAGTGTTTGCTCTTACAGCAAAGCAGCCACACACTGATCCTGCATGGAAAACCTTCAGGCAAGTGAGACTGGGATTAGGAACAAACTACGAATCTGAGCCACCAGGGAGATCAGGATTTAGTAACAAAATATGCCATGATACAAATGATTCATATCCTTCCACAGCACCTCAGTTCACTGCAAAACATGAACAGCAACTTGGAATCTCTGAGAGGCAATTCAACCACTTGATGAACCCCCAGGGAAGCGCTGGGCCTGTTTTCCCAGTCTGCCCAATAAGAACACCCACCCAGCCAACCTGATGGATTTCCCTGCATCGTGCTCCCTTTTTCCCATTGAAGTCACACTGGTTGTTTGTCCAATAGGAGTTACTTTAATCAGGAAATTAGGGAAAACACATGTCCTGTTAAATTCTGCACTGCACACGCTGCAAACAGCTGAGAGGATTAATTGTGCCAAGCGCTGCGATTCCCCAGAGCATGGAGCTGTAAGTACATATGCAGCATGGAAGCAGGCCCAGAGCACTGCTCAGTTATGCACTGTAACAGCAAGAGACAGGTCTTTAAACAGAGCTGGAATTTGCAGGGTATTTAAACAGAAAGCATGCAGGAAAGGAGCTCTTTTCCCAAAAAATTTCCCCAAAATTCGCTCTGTGCACGTCTACCTTGTGCGGTGTCCTCAAGCGAAACTTCCAGTCTAGAATCTGGAACTCTTTTCGTTCCTTACCACCATTGTCAGCCTTAAACTTTATTTTTAGGTACTTTGTCACATAAATGTTCCACAACAGAAAAAGTTTCCGTCTTTCCTGAGTTCCCGCTGTTCTGAAGGTGAGATTAAGAGACGGAAGGAAAACTGACAGACCTGTTAAAATGAGGCAGTGAGCCTTTAATGGTTTTCCTTTTTATCTGACAGCTCAGATCATCTCTCATTTCAGTGGGGAATGAAGAAAACGCTCTTCAGTTTTTTACCCTCCCACTTGAGGACAGACCTTTTCCAGCCTTATTCAATAATCCCATTCTTCAGACCTCTTGCTTTCATATTAGAAGAAGGCTATGAATGCCCCACACCTCTGGTAAAAGTTATTTTAGTAATATAAAGCTGCCACAATATTACTTTCAACAGAGATTATTACTTCTTATTCCCAGTGGAATGACAAGTTTATAAGTAAATTAATTAGCTTTAAACAATATTTCTCTAACATTCACCAGATCAATCAGTCAAGGTCCAGTCAGACCCAGCCATGGACATCTGTCACAGTCACAATCATTTAAGAAAACTATGTGAGGATGAAGGAAAAGTACCTCCCTGGAAATCTCCACAGCAGTTGTGTCTGATCTCAATACTGGCAAGTAGGCAGAAACCATCAACTCTAAAATCATTAAATTTAGGAATAATTTCATGGTGCAGATTGGATATGGCTGTTCTACCAGGAAGCAGTGATTCCCAAATCCTTCTCTGAACCAATGAGTACATAAAGAATGAGAGAGTCAGTAAGTCTTCCAGGACTTTTACAAAGCCTTCAACTTCCCAAAAGGCCCTTCCCAAAGGCTTTTTAGGGAACTAAGCTGCTACAGAAAGTCCTCTTACACACTCAAATAATAGGTTAAAGGACAGAAAGCAAAAGGCAGGAATAAACAGTTCTCACCCAGAGTATGAAGGTGAGGTCACTCACAGAACCCTGCAGAAAGATGTGCTAGGGCTGATGCTGCTGCAAATATTCACAAACCTTAAAGAACACATGAAGACAGCACAGTTACAAAGACTGCTGAAGAGACAGAGCTGCTTGGAGCAGGGAATTAAAACCTGACTGCAAAGCTGCTGTACAGATCATGTTCTATCAAGAGAAAGTGGACAAGTGGGAGAGGGCATTCAACTGCAGGTAAATACAAAATGCTTCACAGGAAAAGCAGCCCTTGACCTGACAGACACACTGCCAGGCCTCTGATCCAGACGGCAGGTTCCCAGAAGTGTTTGGGTTGGAAGGGACTTTAAAGCTCACCTCATTCCACCCCCTGCCATGGGCAGGGACACCTTCCACTAGCCCAGGTTGCTCCAAGCCCCGTCCAGCCTGGTCTTGGATGCTTCCAGGGATGGGGCAGCCACAGCTTCTCTGGGCAACCTGTGCCAGGGCCTGCCCACCCTCACAGGGAGGAATTTCTTCATAATATCCCAACTAACCCTGCCCTCTGGCAGTGGGAAGCCATTCCCCCTTGTGCTGTCACTGCAGGTGTCAGACACCAGATCAGGAATTGTTGGGTCGGAACCACCTCGGAGGGGTGTGGGTGTGCATGTGTGGGGGTGTGTGGGGGGGTTGGGGGTGGAGAGGAAGGGATGGGTTGAACCTCACGGAGCTGAGATGGCATCGTGTCCCTCATGGCAGCCCCTGGAGCCCACGCGGGGAAGCCCCGGAGCAGCTGCTGGTCACAAACATCCTGGGAAACCTATAACACCCCACAGCTCACAGGGACAGTGAGGACACTGCCCTAT